TGAGCAGAGAAAAGAGCACTCCAGCTGCGGGTACTCCCTGTGGCGACTTCATGTGGGCCAAGGTCTGCCTTGCTTCTTCCGCCGAGGAAATGGATTTCAGCAAGCCTGGGATGCACATTGTCAAGGCAGTCAAGTGAGGCTGTTTGAGATCAGAACTGGAAAGATAGCGAGGAAAATGCTGGGAGAAATGCGTCGGTGCTGCCAAGCGAGGGCACGAATCAATGACGCCACCCTCCTCGAAGTGGCATTGGCGATAGAAAACTGTGATGATTCTCTCAACATTCGCTCATACACAATGTGATCTCCTTGAAGACACTATTCTGCTGAAGCCAGCAGTCTATGAGCATATGCCCCCAAGGCGGCTGGGCTCGTTCCGTTGGCTTTGGGATGTATCGATACCTGCCGCACAGCTCTTCTCCACACCGCATATTTCCGGATTGTCAAGCACCGACAGGCAAACCTGAGCGGTGCCAGATGTGCTGAGCTCAATCGCAACAGCGTCGCTGTCCAGTGCGTGTCGCCAAAGCAGGAATCCCGCCTCTTGCTGTCAGGCACCAAATCCCGTAATGCGCTAAAGAGCAAAGTGGTGATCTTCATGCATGGAAATGGCGTATGCCAACAACTATAGTATGACACAGTGCATCATTGACACATTGACAATATAGCGTGCATTCACAGGACAGCGTTTGCGCCAAGCAGCGTACAACCTGATGGAGAATAAGGCCTGCTGTTGGCATCTACTTGTGCGTCGGATGAACGGAGTCATAGTCATTTGATTGGATCCAGATCTTACCCGCGTGAGAATCCCACTGCCAGACTTCTGTGGACAAAAACAATAAGGCATCCTCAGAGAGTGTTCCTGATCCCCATTTTCAATAACAAGTCATCATATGGACAACTTCAGGTGCCAGAACTGCAAGGAATATTACAATGCCTCGGCCATACAACACTGTTGTTCAAGGGCGTATATTCTAGCGCTTACCAGAGTGGGCAACTCTGCCACAAAGACTATAAGACTTTGTGCTTGGCAGCGCCGATGTCATTGCCGTCAGTCGACCCCAGAGTTGAAGTTTGGGGGGATGAGCACTGGGGTGCTGTCAGCGTCGCCAAGTTCATCATCGAAGGGAGGACGTCCGTTTCGATAGCCTGGATTTTGGGCAGCAATGGATGGGATAGACTTTGTTTGTGTTTACGTTAGATTTCAATGAACTAATCATAGACACTGCATTGCAAGGGCAAAATAGTGAAGCTGACGGCTACCTCATTGCCCTGTTCTCTAAAAGTTGATAATGATGGGAGCGCGCCCTCCAAATTTTCAATTCAAACTATCCACAAGAGCCTCGGAACTCGCGCTGTTCCACGTGTCAACCCCCCCAAACGGTGATTTCTGGGACACGTCGAAGACCGGTCAACGCTGCATCATATCCGCCATGCGAAGGACGCTGGCACACCGCTCCGTTCCCCACTTGCCAAGCATTGCGTCAAAGCTCCAAAATCGTCCTTTATTTCGCTCGTGGACTTGTCGTACTCCACCGAGTGCTTGAGTGCCTCCTCCCAGGCATTCATACTGAAAGAGGCGGCCAAAAACAGTGCTCATCTACCAGGTCTCATAGACCGCGCCGGACACCGAAGAGCTCGAAGCGCCACGCGCGGCGTCTGAATGAGCCACTGTCATCATCATCATCATCATCGTCATCATCATCATCATCATCATCGTCATCATCATCACCACCATCATCATCATTATTTTTACCAGAACAAGGCAATCAGGTAGCCGTCAGCTTCCTATTTCGCCTGAACAAAGCAGAGTCGGTGATCGGTTCGTCGAAATCTAATGTGAAGCACAAATTAAATCTATGAACCGCTGTCTGGCGGTTGTGGTGGTTGGGATGGAATTTCAAACTTGTTGGTTTGTTACGTTTGTATGTTTCGTTGCGGAACTTGCGTATCCCGTCGCGGCCTCTATGAAGGCGCTCTTGTCAGCTGAATTAGATCGAGCGCGGATGATACTTGCGAATGCACGCGAACATTCTGGATTATTAGGGGGTTTGGCGTGAAGGCAACTGCGCCGTCCGGAAGGCAGGTATACCAGCATTTCTGGAAGTTAACGTACCGCAATGTCGCTTGTTTGTGTTCGTTGGAAGTGGACGAAGGAAGAGCTTGACCACTTTCCTTGGTGCGGTCGTGAATGTGATGCAGCGTGTGCGTAAATTGATAAATAGAGCCCTTCTGGACGACGTCTAAGCAGATAACGTGGCCCCCCAACTGCCCCGACGCATATAGGCCGTGGTGGTTTCTGTAGGACCTGCAATACTCGTGAGGGGGCTGTTCGATTCAAACCGAAACAGACGGTGCGGAAGAGGCGGCTTAATCACAGGCAGGCTTGAATGAAGCTGGGTCCAATCTGAGGTGTGGATGATGATGAAGGCACTGGTCTGCCGACCAGCGGCTCCATACCGCTCCTGTGTGGCATTGGAGCCGTCTGCAGTCGCTGATAGCGGTCCCAAAAGGCTCAAAGGAGAAGCGAGAGTCCAGTTCACACTGGCGCACCGCCCCCCAATCCTGCAATTCCCACTGGCATGAGTCCTACTCCCCATTGCTACATTGTTTGCACATCATCGGAACTTCCCAGTTTGAGATCCAGCTCAACACATAACGCGCGACCCATTTCCGTAGGATCCACGTTTCCTGCACCCTCCCAGCCGGCCCTGACACAGGGCTACCCCCCCTCTTCTCCTCTTCTTTCCTCGTCTCCTTTTCCCTTTGCATTCCAGAGAACACGCAACACGCACACCCACGCAACTGTGTTTGGACAATTTTGTTCGGGGTGTCCCACAGCCACAAGGCGCCCGATATAGCCTCGCTGCTCCCTGGCCTGATTGTGCCTTGCACAAAGCTGTAACATCTTAACACCCCCCTTGCGAGCTTCCCGCTGCCGCGGCAACTCGAGAACGTGTGCAGCAGACGCCGTACTTTGCCCTCGTACCTTGCCCCTAATCCGCCCTCAATTCTGGCGCCCCATTCTGGCCGTCGATACAGCACGCGACCGCCCCACCGGAGGGCGTTCCCGGGCCCCCGCCACCCGCGCGCCCGCGGGAGACCGCCCTCAGCAGCCGCCGCCTGTCCCGAAGCGCCCTCAGGCACCAAAGCACCTCGCTCCGCATCCCCTCCTCCTCCAACCCAGCCATGTCCCCGGCCGGCCGCGCCTCGAATCCGCAACCACAGGCGACGTCCGGGCAGCGAGCCTCGCAATCAGCCCCGGTCGGCCCCTTTCCCGACTCAGATCCTCCCGCGAAAGGCCCTACCCATGACGGCGATCGATGTTCCGCTACCGGCGGTCGCGGCGACTGATCGGGGCCGTGGTTGCCGGCGCGCGCCCTGGCTCGCGCCAGGTGACGCTTTCTGCTCGACAGCGCGCGGAGGGTCCAGATGAGCTCGCGCCGGGCGATCCACACGCCCCGCCCGCGGCGCCCGCCGGCCACCTCTTCCGCCTCCTCTGACTTCCCTTTGGCGGATGACCGTCCTCCGCGATCGGCGCCGGACCCCGTGGCGAGCCGACCGCGATTGCGTATCGAGGCGGGCCCCCCCTTCTCTCGTGATTGGTGTCGCGAGATTGCGAGGCGCGGTGAGCTGTCAGAAGCGTCGTCGAGTTCCCTGGTCGACGCCGTGGTCGCTTCCCGTTCGCGCCCGCCGTCGGGCGCGCAGCCGCGGGGTATAGGCAGGGGGCCGCTTGGAGACGCCATCCGAGCGAGGTCGCGAACAGAGGACTCGCGTTGCCAGGCTTTGGGGGAGGGGGCCTTCTGAACAGGTTGGCACCAGGGGGCAATACAGCGCGTGGCAAGCCATATGCTTGTGAGCTGGGAAATGCAAAGGGTGTTTCGGGTACGGACCATGAGCACGTGGAAGTTTTTGTAAAAGCAGAATTGATGGAGTATTCTTAGCAGTTGGACGCATAAGAAGGTGATGAGACAATAGGAACCGAATTGAGGACGCTGGCGACAGGACCGCGTATGTGAAGGATAGAATTCCTGTTTTCGCTTTGCTGTGCTAAACCGTTGCGACCCTGCCTGCCTTTGTCGACGTGACGGAGACGAGACAGAGACGGAGACCCTGTACATACACAACCTAAATCCTAACGCCCACCACCCTATCCTGACCCGTCTTCGTTCCTATCTCCATCGCCGTCTCCGTCTCGTCTCTGTCACGTCTCCATGCCACGGTGCTTACAACGGTCTGGAAAATGCTGGCCCACATCACCCAAGAATGCGGCGCCCTATCCTGCCCTGAGCGAATGAGCGCTCGTCGCCAAGGCAGCGAAAATGGGGGAGAGTTTCTGATTGATCGGATGCAGCGGCAGTTGCACCTTGGCGGGTGTGTGCTGTCTTGGCGGCGAGCCGCTGAACGAGGAATACTGTCCTGCGGCTTCAGCTACGCAGGGAGCCACGTCTGCAACATGCCGACACCGGTGCACCGGAAATCGGGCCAATATCTTTGATAGTACAATCATGGTAGTTGTACACCCGCAATCGAGATGTGCAGCTGACGCCGCTTCCGCACCACCCCACACATGACGTGACCCACAACTGCCGCTACAATGCATCAATTTCATCGCAGACGGGCCCAGCAAACCGCACCGTCGAAATCTCCCCTAACCGCCTCTTGCAGGCCACATCAACCTGCTCGTATTATCGCCCAATAAAACACATGGAGGGGGCAAGGACCAAACTGCGTCCATGTGGGCAACCGCCTCGCAAGGACGGACTGATGCGACGACCGCTGCGGATGCCGCCCTCTGGCAGGTATCGTGGCCAGACCGCACCAAACACGCCGTGCACGTCGCAGAGTCGACCATATGAATGGCGAGTGGGGGATCGAAGCGACGGCACAGGTGAAGCACAGGCCGCTGTGCACAAGCAGCTCCAGCCAAGCGATAACAGATCCACGGTCCTGGCACCCATTTCCCCGAGCCGTGTTGCGACGTCTCCTCCCGGGACGCCCCCTCAGCCCTCCTTGCTCCTGGCAATGGAGACCACGGGGAAGTAGGGATGGTGGTCGTACCCGAACGCGACGCTCATGTTCTGCAGGCCCAGCTGCTCCGAGCGCATGACGATGCTCGCGGCGACGGCGTTCGTCCTGGCCACGTGCTCCATGGCCCGGATTTCCCCAAGGCGCTCCTCCCCGAGGCCTGACGTGGACGCCCTGGCCAGCACCAGGGATGCGTGGTCCTTGGCCCCGTGGAAGCTCTTGCTGGCGGCGTCCAGTATCTGCAACGACGGAGACAGGGTGTGGGCAGATTGCTCGGTGTGCAGAAGCGGAGAACTGCTATGCAACTGAAGGACGACTATTCGACTGAAGAGAAAACGCCGTCACAGAAAAAGTTGCGCGTCCAGGTTAGACGTGCATATCTAGGACAAGACCATATCCTGGATATGCATATGCAGGATATGGACGGCCCTTATCCTGAATTTGGAGGATCCATATCTGGGATATGGGCGTCCAGGATATGACCACATCCTGGATGTGTGCATCCCGGATTGGGCGCCCATTTCCTTTTCAATATCCAGGACAAGGCACTTTCAGCCGATGGCGTCGTATCGTGTCCCCATGTCACATGCTGTCTACCCATTGTCAGCCCTGCTAGCACGCACAGGCCTTTACCATGACCGAGTTTGAAACATCCCTAACATGAAATTTAAAGACTTAGTGATGGTGTACCTACACATCCAGTTGCGAGTAGACATGCTAGACTACGCACAGCACGGCGACGCCTGCCTTGTCTTGCGGTGACAAGCATGCAATCAAGGAGTTGGGCACTGAAAGGAAACACGAAACGAACCCATGAAAACACTGACTGATTCGGAATCTCGAGCGCAAGGTACGCCTTGGTATTTGCTTCGGAAAACGTGCCTTTTGCAATGTTCGTTTGGGAAACTTTTACAACACAAAACAATGCAGCACAGTGGATTGTGGATATGTTGTCACGAGCTTGTACCACCTGTACCCCTTGACATGCTGCCTGACAGGCAAGACCGCATAACAGTCACCAACAAACGATCTTCAGGCAAAGTGATTGAACCACGGCCTAAAGTCAAACAGCATGTCATATTCTTTCCAGAGAGGAACATCATTTACACAAGGTAAACATTGCCAGACTGTGCACATAGCATCTCACAATGCTTTCACCATGGTTTCAAATTTGACGTTTTGGCAAGTGAAACACAGAAATTGAACGATAAAGGTTGGCTCAAGGGGGGTTCAGCGATTGTCATGATGGAAAATGTGCTATGCCAAATACGTCTCAGCACAATCTCTGCACAGTAAGAGGGCACAACGTACCCGACATCAAACGGCGCACAGAAGGACACATTGGCAGGCAAGCGCACACCGTACTGAATGCAGCCATGCTGGTAAAGCAAAGAAGCTGACTCACCCTGCTTGAGGATGGTGCGACAATGTGAGTGCTGGCTGCAAACGCTGCGTACTCCAACGGCTCGGGCTGCTCCACCTGTTGGAAGCAATCAAACCTCTGGTGGAAACGCTCTGCTTCACCGTTGAACGGGAACTCTGGTTTTGTCAAGGTCCCCGTCATGTGCAGGCCCAGCATGAGCCTGACTATGCCCTGGCTCATGTGGCGCTCCGTCTCCAGGATGGCCAACTGTCAGCACAAGCAGAATGCTGGAGTCAATGACACCCTTGCTGACAACTGTCTGCGCAGGTCAAAACAGGGGCTATGTACCTTGCATGCGCCGGCATGCAACACCGATGTCTGGACATTGACATCATTGGTGAAACAAGCACGTTCATGCAAGCATCTACTTTGCCCCAAGGCCGAAGCGCATCAAAGGTGACAACTGGTCGCCAATTTCATAGATGTGACATTCACACCACAAGACACCAGGTCCCCATGTTCACTTTGCTGCCTCTAATCCCCAGAGACGACCTCAAACGTTCTCAACAGACCATGAAGCACTGTTGCTCCCTGGACAAACGAACGCCAAGCAGCTCCGCAGTTTTCCGCATGGGGCTGAAAGATCGCAGTGCTGGTGCTTCCATGCACTTATCGCATACGATTCTGCACCATTTCTAGCCATGTGTCAGTTCCCCACCTCCATGGCATAGCGCTGTGTCCTAATGAGGTCCGTCTGCGCGTTCTTCCCCTGCTGCATCTTGGATTTTGTCTTCTTGCCCCCCTTCTTTTTCTGCTCAGAGGGTGGAACAACTCCAGAGCGTGCGTTGAACAGGTCCCGGGTGCAGGCCAGGAGTTTGCTGAACAAGTAGTCACAGTACCTGTAGGCCCAAACACATGACCAGCTCCTCGTGATGGGTGATATTAACTTGTTGTGGATTTGTGCAAGGACAGGCACAATTTGTATCAACTTTCCTTCCTATGATGATGCATTCACGTTCACACCGGAACACCTGGCTGAACATTCGCTCACACAGAGACATAACACCTCTGCTGCACATGACAGGCACCCTCCCATCCACAAGAAACTCCCTACCCTGTACCCGTTTCCACAACCAGCAACGCAGACTCCAGGCGTCCCAATCACTCTATGGAAATTCCACTGTCATTTTACTGCCCCACACCCCTCACCCACCCACCCACTCACAAACACTGCATCGGGGCGATGCACATGGGTGACACGTTCTTTGCAACCACCAGGGACACAGGTTGCCGGAGTGAACCACCAATGCGAAAAAATAATGTTACAAGTCAATTTCTTTGGCAGTGAACGATGACAGGGATGTAATTGGGCACATCCCAATAAGGCAGTCAGTCAGTGTACTGACTTCATGATCACCAAGAGGCTGTGCTGGGTCAGGTTTCTGAGGCTGCACAATGGGGGCATGACTGGCAGAATGCTGAGTGCGGAAGGCACCTGCCTTGTTGATTCAGGGCAGCAGGAATGCATGGTGTTTGGTGGTGTGCAAGGTGTAGACAAGGCTATCTGGCAAAGGAACAGCTACAAAGAAGTCACATGGTGCATACAAGGCAGTGTTCTTGCCATGCTGAGGACAGGAGCAGTCAGCACAGATTCTAGGCTGACATAAGTCCCTACCACGGCCAACAGCTAACATTCACCCCAAAGTACTGACCAGAATATCATTGTGTACTCCATGGGCTGGTAAAGCTCAAGCTCACAGCCAAGCAGCAAATGCAGGACCATGCACTCACAACACCCCTGCTCCACCCACGCCATGAGAGGACCACTCTGGTGTGACACACAGCCACAGATCATCAGCTGCTTCCAATCGTACATTAGTGCTTTGATCACACGCAATGCTCTGGTGCAAATTGTCCACAGCAAGCACTGTGATGAGGTGCAAGTGCACCAGCATCCAATCACAACACACGACATGGTGCACCAAGCACTGCTGGACCTGTCCAGGCATAATGACTCGAAAATTGTAACCCATAACTTGTTCAGTTGTGACAAATCCTATTAGAGACGTACCCTGTACAAGGGTGGCTTTCCTGTTAACAACACATGCATTCATACGACACGCGGTCCCACTGCTGCCACACATGTGTTGCAAGGTTAACAAATGTGCCTTGACCGCGAATCAACCAGGCCTGAAACACTCAACTTCCCAGCACATACATTTGCCCCAACCAGCACACAAATTTGCCTCAGTCTGCTAAAGACGTAGATAAACAAAGGAGTTGAGCTCCAAGGCTGCAGAGCCTGTGAGTTGCCATGTTTGCAGGAATTGACACAGGATAGTTTTATGCCAGACCTGAAAAGAGTTTGGCCCATTCTGCTGGAGGCCCCCCGGCAACCAATGCCATCCAGTCTCAGCCATGTAGCGCTGAAAAGCGGGAGAGTTGTCAGCATGAAAAGCGTGGTCAGCCAGGTTTCTCCAGTCTTCCAGGCCCTTACGCAGTCGCCGCCTCTGGCGGAGTCTGTTCAAGCACATGCACTGGCACCAGTTCTGCATCTGGCAAGCAGCAGCACGACATGTGGGTCAGATATGAACAAGGCATGGGGGTGCTGTTCAATCCCAGGCAAGGGGAAGTACAAAAGAACATGCAAGGCCTGAGTGAGCTTCCAAACTGCCTTGGTGCTCTGTCGACTGATGCACCATGCTGCATGAGCAAATCACCCACTCAACTCTCCATAGTTTTGAACTGCTGCGCTGCTTGGCGAACCACACAAATACATCATGAACGATCTTCCATTCGATATCACTTGCTGTCCTGCCAGTGCTCAAGCACTCCAGGCAATCTTCAGCAACCCAGACGTGCAGGGTGCACAAACAACAGGACAAACTGTGGGCTTTGGTTCACAATGGGAGAGGGGCAGGCGATCGTGCCAATCGTTCCCCAACTCCTCCCTTGCGGAAGAAAATCTTTCCACAAAGTACAACAACGATGCAACCTGTGGAATTCATATTGACCGGCACATGCTAGGGATCCCGCCCATACCGCAATAAGGGCCTGCTGAAGAAAGAAGTCCACCTCATCTCCAGCATCGCCCCTCTTTGGAGGCAAGTTCAGAGCATCGCTCAGCATTCGGATAGAGGGGCACCACCTTGGGGGCTCACTCAATTGGGTGCCTTTGTTGAAGCTCAGATTTAGATGCAGTGCTGAGCGAGCAACTGCCGCTGGAAGCTTCTTAGCAAATGACAATAAGAAGTTCTTCAGCTCCTTCAGGCTGCAGAAGAAACATGCACCATCATGACACAAGGCATCGACAGCGCTATGTCCAATGCAAATCTCATACTCGCTTTTGTTGCACGTGAGCGAGTGAAGCCCCTGCACCTCAATTGGCGCTGACGATGCACATGCATGCAGTACTGTCATTGCAGGAGCCAAGCTGAACAGCAAGAAGAGCAGGACAGGAGAGTTGCCAACCACTGCCAAACATCCCACCCCCACACAAACAAGCTGGGGTGCTGAAAATACACACAAAAGAAGGATCTCTGCCACAAGGAACCAGTCAAAGTTCAAGCAGAAGTCCCAGTCTCCTGAATCAGGTGAAGGGTTTCATCACCAGATTATCTACAATACCGCAGCATGCGGCTGAGTCATGATGGCATGGTGTATGACAAAGTGCCTCATGAATGTGGGCACCTGCCTGCAATACGCTTCTGTCTGGCTTCACAACGCTGCTGTTACCAACATGCAATGACAGACAAGTTAAGGTTCAGCAATCTGAAAGTGTAATGCGTGCCCAAACTCACCTGCCTATTGCTGTTACTGAACAAGCTAGTTGCAAATGCTCAAGCATCGCTTGGAAGTGATCCCATGCATCCTCTTTGGTTAGGATCTGAGCAAGTCAATATCCACAACATCAGCATCGGCACCAGAAGGATTCTTTTGAAGGTTGGGTTTAGAGTAGAAAATGGAAGAACACATGGAAGATGCCGCATGCACACAGCGCAATCCATGCAATGCTTCAAATGGCCGATAGCTGTCAATTGTGCTTGTTGACCAGTGATATCAAACCAAGTTTACACTCACACATGCCTGAACTCCCAACAGTGGCCAACAGAGGTCAGCAGCAACAATATGTGACAGGTTACGGCCCTGCAAAAGCAACAGTAAAGGCAGAGCTGGCAAGCAGCAGGCTGGAAGATGGAGGTATGAGCTTCAGCTGCAAACTTCCTCAGGAGGTGGATATGTAACAATGGGAAGATTATGCTGTCCGTTATACAAAGCATTGGATATTCCCAGATGCCAATCGCTGCGACAATGTGGACAGCAGGGCAGCAAGTAATACTAGATCTTCAAAGAGTCAGCTGCACAAGGCAGGAGATCAGGCCCCAATTTTCCAAGCTTTTTTCTCCTAGCACAAAGGTCTCTGGACAACATGGACTTTCGTGTATAAGAAAATTACCTTCAATGGCCTCATCGGTGCAGCACCCAGGGTGCCTCTGTCAAGGCAAGGTTGAAATCCAGGACAATCCTCTGAACCCAGAGCTGATGTCTCCCTGGCACAGAACAGGGTCCCATTTCCAATCAAAGTCTTCAACAGCAAGCACATAACCAAGCACACCACAAAGTGCTAGGAGATGCTTGGCGATGTCGCTCCATTTGTTCTCAAAGGCTCAAATCTGAGCTTGGTTTAGATTGTCAAGCCTCCATGCTCACCGACGCACAATCTCAAGAGGTAGGTTAACTCAAGCCTGTATAATGGCGTCCTTGGCCACAAAGACCAAGTAACTTGGGCCATTGGGGCGCTCAGTGGGTTGCATCCAGCAATTCCCAATTGTTTGCAGTTCTGGCACTGGTCGGTTTGCTGACAACACATTCTCTGCTTCAACTGGCAGGGGTGCACAGCTTGCACAACGATATGCCATCGTGTCTGCGCAGTATGGGGAAACAGTAAGAAAAACACTGAAACGGAGTTTCGTGAACATTCCTGAATGAACACACACTGCGATTCCCCAGTTGTAGTCCTCATACCTATTAGTATCCTCCCACCTCGTTGCAGGTCCAAACCATGTTTGTATCCATGACACAGTGTTCATACAATCACCTTTTGTTGCTCTGTTCAGGGTTCCTTGGCTGCTGATACCAGTTCCATACAATTATGGTATCAAATTCTGCCCTGTGGTGGACACAGACTGGCTTGGGTGTTGGAAGGGACAGAGTCCACTTCACAATCAGACCAAAAGCTGTGCATGATGCTTCTACTTGCCGTGTTAGGGGTGTGCAGGCAGTGCAATTGCGGGCTTTGGGACTTGATGGAGGCAAACTATGGTATGTGCATCCGTGTGCACTTAGAACCATCATCGTCCCTGTTCCTTTCAGGAGGGAGTCATAGAAATTGCACAGAATACCAGCATGGCTGGCATCACACGTGTTCCCACCTTATAGTCTGCAGCTCGACCATAGCTGCCCCAAAATGCTTTGATGCCGCTTGAAGGTCCTGCTTGCCTTTCTTCTGCAACCTATCTAATCCCATGTGCAGCAGCTGCCAGAATTTCAGCCTGGCTGCGATCGCCTGAGCCATGTTGGCAGGCATGGCATCGACATCTCCAAGGCCATTGCCATCCTGCACATGACAACCTGCACAGAGTGACACTCTTGAACCAGTCTGGCATCCTAACAGCCGCACCAACCCATACACCACAACCAGATGTGCAACATCATCACTGACTGTATCTGGCATGCATGACACATCTCCCCCCCATTTGCTAAGAGGATATTGGCATCTGGGGAATAAGCAGTTTTGGAATCCAAGCAATTGCACTCCAACTTCTTGGCAGCTAGCTTGCACTGAACCGAAATTTACATTAGTAAACATCAAACAAGACAAGAGGGTGTATCACAGACTCACAAGCTTGATGCACCCTTACTGTCAGCACGGTTACAATACTTCGGACTCATCTCTTTTTGGACATCTATCACATTCAGAAAATGCAAGCACTTGGGCGCTCGCAACAACTACAGCGCTGCCTCCTCGGCCATGGCAAGAGAGCGCAAACATGATATTGATTTCCATGCCCACTAGTAGAAATGCTGCTGAATCCCTCATTGTTGTGTCCAACTATTGCAGTGATGATGACGATGCAGGTACAGTGTCAAGCAGGCACAGCCAATATGCCTACCTTTTGCTGCGCCCCTCCTTTTCTTTTTAGGATTTGGGTGAGTTTCCCCTCTGCAAAACTTGCGGCTGCCAATGCAGACTTTCCACCATCTCCCTGTGCTTCGTCTAGTGGCGTTCCATGGGACAATGCAACAAAGTCTTCATCCTGCGTGGCACCATGGCACTCGATGGCCCACAGGGGGTGCACATTCACATCTATTCATTTCAAAGGTAAGTGCCTTGTCATACATAATAAATGCCATCGCAAGGAAGGTGGCTGCACCAACATACAAGATCGTGCACACATTTGCATGCAACGCATCGCATCGCATTGCGTTGTGAGCGCACGGCGACTGCCCAAACACAAATTAGCCATAATCAGTAATGAGGTTTCAATAGAATGGAGAAAAACACAATCCTTTGCACTGTAAAAGCTGCCAGACAAGTCAGTGCTGTAGATTCTGTCGAAATCAAAAATGCCATCTGCAACAATGAATTTTGCTGATATCATGTGCACCAATGAATAACAATGCAACATTCTGCAAAGTGGTTTGCAAAGGCTTTGCACACCTCGCACACACAGGCAGCGATCACCATGTTCCTGATTTCCCAGGTAGTGGCCCTCACGATCTTGCAGAATGCTGACAAGTACAGGTTGTCTTCCAGCCTGGTATTGAACACAACAAGCGGAAGGACTTTGAGGTTCTCGGTATCAGCGAACCAGAGACATTCGTCCCCCATACGCACTATGCAAAATGGGAAATGAAATCAACAAAACTCATCCCACACCCTATACTTTCACACTGTGGAAATATACCCCAAAACTCTTCACCGGGCACCAGCTGCGCATGTTCTTCTAGCTAGATGGCTATTCTCACATTCCAATTGATGGGCAACCTGCCATCCCACTGTCGAGATGGAGGCCATTCCATTCAGCCGATTTCTCTGATGCACTTTCCGCTCCCACCATGTCCCCAACTCCCCACAGATACACTCTGATATTTCCTGCTGAAATCTTCCAAGTTCCCCCTGCCAATGCTGATGAGCCAGTTCAAGGGATTGCTTGGGAAGTGGGTTGGTGTGTGGGTTGGCTTCGGCTCTTGTGGACGTTGTCAGAGGACGAAACTTTCCCCCATGGCAAGCGATAGAAAATATATTATGTTGCTTCGGCACTAATAATCGCTGCCAGCCCAAACCATTGGATGGCCATTGCAGGTCCAAATTGGAGACATTTCCCAACATAGGCTTCTCCTTTACCCTCAAAGGACAATCTCCATATATCAAGAATCCTGACATTCCAAAATAGGCTTCCCCTTCACACTCAAAGGACAATCTCCATGCTGCAAGAAACCTGACATTCCACCGTTCTTGCTCGCCCAGATGCAGATCTGAGTAATGAAGTCCCAGTGCTAATTTCTTTCCCCTCCCCCCCGCCCCCTTTCTCCAATCCAGCAATCCGGATTCATGCCCATAAAATGGACGTCGTCACTCAAAATCCGATGCTCTGCATTCCGCGCCTCCCAGTTGCGCAGGCACCCCTCCACATCATCTCCCACAACACGGAACAGATCCACGTACACCGTTGCCCAACAGCATGGCGCCCACTGCACGACAAATCTCCCCTTGCTTTACCAGCAATCATCGATTGCCTCGATCCCTGTCATCCCTACCCTCCCGCCCACGCACCTCTCCAGGTCGAACATGTACAGGCACGTGTACACGGTCTGCGTCAGCGCCGACCCCGTCAGCCAACTGGCCTCCAACGCCATCAGCCTGTCCATCACGCCCAGCGCCTCCCCGGCCGGCAGGTCCACCGGCGCACCGCCGCCCGCGATCAGCTCCGCCGGGCTGCGCACCCTCCCGCCGGCGCTCCCCGCGTCCATCTTGGGCGCACCGATCACCACGGCGCTCATCGCCTGCTGCAGGCTGAAGTCCTCGCCGTGCAGAATCTCGCCGAAGGCCAAGGAGTCGCGCGCGCAGGCCAGCAGCGGGCCGGCGTCGACCCATTCTGGGGCGCTCATGGAGGGGGGGCGGCGGTGCAGGGGCCGTCCGTCGCCCGGCGGCGGCAAGCGCGGATGGGCGACGGGTCGCGCGAGTGGCTTCGAGGAGGGAAGGCTGTTCGGGGAGGGCCGGATCCGCGGAGGCTCGTTTTGGTCGCGCTGTTTCTGCTGTTCTTCTGATGGGCCCTCATGTTTCGATTCTTGTTTGTTGAAGGTGCAATATTTTCTTCTGCCGCTGGGGCAGAAAAAAGGACATTTATGCCAAATTTTGACGTTCATTCACAAAAGGACACTCACTCCAAAAGCTGATTCCCTGTCACAGTGAGTCGTTCTTTCTGTAACCTCGACATGTCTCAGAATTTTGCATGAATGTACTCAAGGTGTTCGCTACTGGACATGTGGTCTTCTGCCTTTACGGGCTTTTGTGCGAGAAGCGTTCAACGCATCACAACCTGTGATGCCCATGGCTGTGTTGCTGGGAGGAGTTGCTGCCGGGAGGCTGTGGCGTCGGGGATGTGCACTCTGGGGTTGTTGAGGATTCGCCGGCCAGGATTGTCTGAGGATTGGGCATGTCACGATGACGTTGGGAGGTGTGTTGGGGTATGGGCGACCTTTACCAGCGTCATGATCTACTAAAAGAGGACCTGATGTGTTGGTGCCCTTAATGATGCCTTGTGGTGAGCTGCTGTGACCATCGATGAGCGGCCATGATAAGTTGATGTGTCCCGTGATGATGCTGCGACGCCTGGAGGGGAGACGATGGTGCCTGTATCGGGTGGGGATGGCGTCTGATGAGCTGCAATGACGCTTGGTCTGATGCAGTGACATTTGGAGGTTTTGCGCAGTGACTTGCGATGACTTGCGTCGGCTGTGACTTGCGATTGCGAGATTGGTGCTGCGTCAGCGTGCCGTTGGCCTGTACATTGGCCGGTGGAAGTATTGGATTGCCGCACCACGGTTTCAGCGTCTTTAAGAGATGCGACGGCAGAGCGTGATGGGCTTTGCAGTGCCGCAATGTGCTGTGACCGCCTTCAGGGCGCGGTTATTTGTCCGCGTGCCTTTGCGTCCTACCTTGCTCCACTCGAATGAAGAAAAATGAGTTGTTGATATCAGAGGGCGCGAGACAGGGGCTCACCTGTGTGGTGGTCGAGCCAGAATCAACTAGTGCTCCACACCCGTGATCAACGCTCAGCGAGCGACATACATCTTCGAACAGATGAGCATCGGTGCTGTGCACTGGTATGTTGCCACGTTGGTGCTCTGCATTCAAGGTGTGGTGCGATCTCTAATGGGTCTGAAGCGGCTCATGCTCTGACAGTGCAAGAGGGAAGGGCGGAAATTTTGGAGACACGACAAAGCCCTCCTGAGCGCTCGATGTGTTTCATCCCAATTGATTGGCCCGGAGGTGGCACTTCTCCAGAGCGGTCAGTATTTAAAAGTTCTAGGGAGGCACCTGGGTATAATGGAATCAGTACACCTGATTCAGCGTACCAGAATCGGCTCGATGTCGATCCTGAGAGCAAGCATCAGGGAATGTTATGCGATGTGTCATAGCCTCTGGTGTGAAATAGCCGATTGCAAAGGCTTCAACCGTGCGAATGCCACTGGCAATTCCGTCTACAGACAGTCTAAGCAGCGGGGGCGATTTGTACTCATTCTCAGCAAAAAAAGTCAACCTGGTACAGGGTTTGCCTCTCCTAGCGTGCGATCACAACTGGGTGCAGTTGTGCGACGTGCTGTGCTCAAATCAGCAGGCACTGAGATATGTACAATGGCACTCGCTGTGGCACGTCCGACGCAACCTGTGCGGCGGCCGGCAACAACTCAAGAAAGAGCACCTGCGTTGTCAACTGCATCCGACATCGCCTCACGCATGAAACGACAGCGACTTGTCATATGCCGATGCAGACAAGCAACGAGGAGGTACCCTTCTCCGCCCCCAGTGCAGCACAGCCCTCGCCGCCAGCGCTTGTGATTACAAGCGGCTGAAACAGGGAACTGTGCTCACACATCCACGGAGCTTGGTCCATCAGTGCAAGCCACATCTTCCATGATGCGTCGCCCCCTTGCCACATCGACCAAGACCACCGGCGAGTGCCGATGCCGACGCCCCTGCCCCTGTCTCACGCGCAACCTTGGTCGCTCACCAGATGGATGCCCTGCACTCCAACCAAGTTTTGCAGCTGCAGGCCACAGGGCCCGGCGCGCATGAACGAATGAACAACGACATGTGCCCAGTTTGGTGCAACCCTCGCATCCGGGTGGGAACGCTATATTCCCTTATTCAAGAAATTTTCGGAGTCAAAACACATCCCGGCCCCCAGATACGCGGAGAGTCATGCGAACAACCCCCATGAAGAATGCAAGAAGATGATAGCAGGAAAACAATCCATCCCCACAAAACACGACCTCTGACACTACACAATCCCCCCCCCGGCCCCCTGCCAGTTCTCCCATCATTTTGGCACGCCTTCGCTTGAGTACTGCAACAGCAGCGTGCGCGTCACCGGGGGCGAGTTGGCCACCTGCAGCTGCATCCGCAGGTTGTTGTTCAAGTTGTACATCATCGTCCACTGCGTCCCGTACTCAGCTCCTCGCAGCTTGTGCGCAACGACGGCCTGCACCGACTTGCCGAACTGGACCTCCACCTCCGTCCCCGTGAACAGGCTCGTCAGCAGGTTCTGCCACTCCACCGCTGGGTCCAGCAGCGACAGCATGTCGGGGAAGGAGGGAGCCGACACGAGGCGCCACCTGCACAATCCACAATGACGCTCTGCACCGTCACTCTCCTCGGGTGACGCCACCGAATTCTCACGGGCCTGATGCTGTCGCTTGCAGCTTCAATTCATTTCGCAACGGCGCTGAAAGGAATGCAACGAGGCGCCCAGCATAGCGCCTGAGGAAGTGCAACGGGCAACACATCTTCTACTTTGGAGACAGATACTAGAACGCTTATCTCACTGCAACTGGCGTGTTGTCAGAAAGGGATCACGCGTCAATTCTCGGCTGACTGGACAATCCTGTGCCCGCCTTAGCCTGCAACGTGCAAGGCACTGTTTGTCGCGCCGCTGCCTGACAACTGCGATCCAAGGATTCTACATTCTGACAATCAATTGTGACGAGGAACAGCACAAAGACCATGTCCATAGAATACAGCGACCTTGACTACAACCTATAGTGTTGCATGTTGTCTTGGTCGCATTCCACCACATTGGCCACAACGATTACAGCACGTCCAAAAAAGCCCCAATTTCCGCTGCTGGGGCGGAAGAGCCCCATGTGCGACCTGTTGCTGTTCGCGACAATCATTGACCTTGATGGCGTGTGGGTTCACTTTTGTCTTCGCATCCTCATGGATATTAGCTCAAAATGCGAAAGTAATTTACCTTGCAGCGCCAATTTGTCCCTGGGTGTCGAGCTTTGGAGAGAACGTGGACACTGTGGATGCTGCCAAGTTTGAGAACGCCAATTGGCCGTCGTCGGCCACCAGCGCCGATGCCAACTGCTCTTGGAACAGCCTCGAAGCCTCAGTAAGCTGGACCTGGCCGGTGCCCTCCCCAGTCGTCGAACGTGTGCCAACATAGCTCAAAACCACCAAATCTTGCCAGTTGCTGGCTCGACCCTGGGAGGCAATGGCAGAGCGGGTTGAAAAGAGCAGCTACACTGAATAGAGTATTATGATCAGTGCATCATGCCCATCTAAAGGTGTTCTTCCCATCTTTGAAATATTCACTTAGAAAGAAGAAAAGAATCAACTCAGCAGCCGAGTCCATGCCCCTCATATATCCCACTGAAACCCCTTGAAGAACATTGGCAAAGGCCGCAGTGACGTACGAAGAGCCAACTGGACTGCATGGCAATCGTACGCTACTTGCCAACCTCCCAAAATCCACTCAGAAGAACGTGTGCTATTCTGCCTGGTCACCTTGGTCTGAAGGTAAACCTCCTGCCCATCTGCATCACACAGGATCTCTAACAATTGAACCGATTATGGCAGAATAGCCACCCTGATATGTACGAGAGTAAGTCCTTTTGCAGGCAAAAGAATGGAGTTGAATGCACCTCCATTTCACCTGTTTCTAGTGACTCCCGACAATTCCCAAACGCAGCCACTGGCACCAAGTAATGGAGAGCTCGTGTTAAGTTCTGCTCAAGGCGTATAGTTGCAGCAACTTCCCTTGGGTACTGAGGGTGGCAAAGCTGCTTGATCACCAGCAAAGGGGCAGCATGCCTAGGTTCGCTCCTTGACATCACTGCCACCCCTCCGCCGCTACACTCAACCACGCAGCAGCCGGTGCCGGCAACAACTACAATGGCTAGTAGGCCAAGCATTTGTGCTTTACATTTCGCTACACTTATCTACTGCCAGGTAAAGAATGCGAAAGACTGACCTGCATGACAGCCTTGAATTCCCCTGCTGTCAAGGTGATGTCGATCGTTGGATCCAGGCCCTGCTCTGGCACAAACGTGATTCTCCCTGGCTGGTCGCGCTCCACCCGCAGCTGAGTTGCAAGCACATTGACCATTCCACCATCGAGCTGCACAGTGCCATTGGCGACGATGCTCGAGGGATCTAGTGCACCATTCAATACAACATTGCCCGACAGTGCCAGGTTCACCACCAAGGGGTACACAGCCCGCAGTTCGGATCCCAGTGTGACATTCAAGTTCTTGACGCGCACGCCGGCCATGGAACCAGGCAGCCCCGGCGAGGTGCTCGCCTTCAGCACAACACAAATCAGATGTTCATTCAACAACATAATGGTATGCAGCTTTGTTTCAATTCAACATATTCTATGCAGGTGAGCAGGGCTGGCCGAACAGACACATCCCCTGGTAGCAACACCGCTACAGGTTGTGCACACTTTGGAGACCCATCAGCACAGGGCAAAACACGATGCCTTGTAGCATCGAACCTCCATGCGATCCAACGAAGAGCAATTGGTAGCATTGCAGAAAGCTTGGCCAATAAGGTACAGCCTGACACTTTAGCATCTCAACGCATTTTTCGCTGGATCGTGTTGGCGCACAGTGGAACACCAACCTCAGCCCATCACTGCCTAATAGCTGCAGTGCCAGTGTATAGTTGCTTTCAATGATTGCATTCAAACGACTAATACAGCACTCAAAATCCAGCAGAGTCAGGCTTTCAAGGAGTCGAAAGCAGCTCTCCACCACAAATGTGCCTGTCCATTTGAGCGCCCCAAATACAGCTCAGCTACCTGTGGTTCCAGCCTCGCCTCCATCCCACTCGCACTGAGAGATTGGAGTGCATCGGTCGCCGGTCTGCTCCGTTGTGCTGCCTCTGAACCACTATTCACTGCTGGCGATGGTGACTTACTTCCAGTGGGAAAGTATGCAGTGCCCCTGGACAGCTGAAGGTCGCCTGAGATGAGCGGCTGGGCAAGGCTGTCTGAGACGCTGAGGTTGCTGTCCAAGCGACCACTGTACAAGTTCCAAAGCCTCAGCTCCAGGCTCGACAGCTCCACATCCATGGAGTCGTCAGATTTCTGATGTGAGCAAGAGAAAAACGGAAGCATGAGGATAGCATGGATTGTGGAAGCAAGCAAAGCTCAGCAAATTTCAGCCTGTTGACGCTGTTGGATAATCAATCACCTGGCACGAAACACTACACACATCGGCACCTCGAGGCTTGGGACTCTACAAAATGGACACAGTGATTGACATCCATGCAACATTTGTCACAGAAAGAGGCACACAAGATGCCATGGGAATCCTCCTGCCGCAAAGCATATGATCTCCTTTGGCATGCAATGGAAAAGCACTTGAAAGTTTGCCAATGTATGAGAAAAACAAACTCACACACATTGATTTCCACGCCCCCCAATCCTTGCCTTGCTGGGTTTCCTCAGCGGCAGACTTCCACGAATCTTTATGTATCCTCTCCTACCAGACTTGGCCTCAAAATGTTTGATGGCAATCTTGTTCTCATCCATGGCAACCACTGCAGACACATTGCTGAGGGGGTATTTCACGGTTGGCATGTTCAGCATTGCCCTGGAGACTCGAGCGCCTCCTTCGATGTGCGGTTTGGACATGCTGCCATGCATGTGCATGTTGATTATGGCCGACCCACCAATCCACTGGTATTCAGGAGCGATTGCAGAGAGAAGCTGCATGCCCCCATCCCGTACATTGATGTTGATATCCATGTCATCACCCTAGAACAATGCTCCTCTCAAGACCACACTGAATGCAAATGAATGGACGAATATACCCAAAAGCGGCAGCATGAAAAGTGGTGCTCTTGTAGTGGCTCATGTCTCTACTGAACTCAACAGGTAGGTAGCATCAACTATGCTCCCACAATACAGTGAAGATAGTTGCTTTTGTCTGTACCATATTCTTGCACAGCCAATTTCCATTTCAACATATGTATAACATAGTGGATCAGCACAATACCGGCAATAGGGAAACAAGAGCACGTTCCTTTCCCCCAGTAAGCTGCAAACCTCCTTGGACAAACATCAATAGATGCACCATTCTTGTGCTGTTAGTAACGGCACAAATAGCCATTGCACAGCCCACAAGTGTCTGGGCATTTGCCTGTACAATCTGGAAACATGACAAGAAAATGCAATTCACACCATTCCTAACCTCTTGGAAGAATGGCAGTGTCCCCTCGACCTTCAGCATTCCCCGTTGCTCAGACGGCACGGCCTCCAGCTTCAGAGTCACCTGCCGATTTTCATCCACCTTCAGATAGGCTTCAGCACTGGACAATTGCGTTGGCCCCACGGCGCCATCGTACAGTCGAATGCTCAGCACGCCTTCAGGGGAACTGACACTGCCACCAACGCTGCCACGAACATACAGCAAACCCTTCACAGGACTACCTGGAGTACACACCAAAACAGGCAATCCATCAGTATTGTGGGCATCGCGCTTGTCCGCTTCACTCAAAGTGGCAAGAAATCTACAGGATTAGTAAGTTGCTTTCCCTGAACCATAACCCCAATCCACTGCACTGCCTAAATAGCTTAAGAACAGGATTTAAATGTTGATAGAGAGAATTGCACAGAGTGCAAGGTGCTGCATGAGTGAAATGCCACTCTTTGCAAGGAATAACAGCAGGTTGTGACAACATCCTGATTGTGCAGGATGCCAGCCCAACATTGCCAATGGAAACTAAAAGGAACTGCTGCCATGCCAAGGGGTATCTTTTCGACTTTCCGAATTTCCAACTCTTCTTTCCTGCACAAAGGCTCTAGTGGCCAATATAGGTACCAACAGAGATGCCTTCAGCTGAATACAAAGCTCTAGTTGGTGCACAATGCTACAACTGCAAAAGTTCTCCCATACTGATGCTGGGCACATTCTGGACTTACCCAGTATATCCCCACCTTAACATTGCAAATTCACAATCTTCAGTCTTTCATCGGCAACTGAGAATTTGAGCCTGAATCAAAATCCCATCCAAGAACCATCCAACATCGCAACCTGGTCCTTACTCTTTGCTAATTGTGTTGCAGCTGCATCTTCCTTTCCGATGCTGATCCCAATAGACTGCCTCAAGCCCTCCCATCTCTCAAGCAGCCGCTTGAGAGTAAGACTCCGAGCAGACACTGGAGGTGCGGCATGCTGCAGAAACAGTGCATGTAACCCTTAGCACAAGAGTGCATGTCTGCATTCCTAACCCCAGGGGCATGCGACACCATGCCACACAGCGCTGCATCGCATGCGGTAGATGTGTAGTTCTGCTTTACGCACGTGTGTCGAAATTGCCTAGGAATCGACCTGGCACCTTTACGGCGACGATGGTCACTTGCAAAACTCAGGAATATATTCTACATGCCAAATCGAACGGAAAATTTCCATGTTTTGATGCATTGTGGCTGAACTGGAGTGCCGTGCATCACTAGATGACATCATGCACAAAATCTGCCCTGCATCACCCACCTGCAGTGCTGGGACAGCTTTGTACATTGGGCTGAGCAAAGCTGCAGGGAAGTCGTTCAAGAGAATGGTTGCATCCTGCTTTGGCCCAAGCAGATCGCCCCGGATGAGGAGTTGTGCTTCGCCTGAGCGCATGGACACCTCGTCAATATGAACGCCTTCAGAGCTCCTGTAGCCTCCACTGGCAGCACCCTGCGAAATGAGTCAACTGTAAGCATGCATCAAAAAGATAGCCAAAAACTGGAGATGACTGCAACACTGCGCAGTATGGTTGTGGCAACTGAGGGATGCTGTACGGTGTAACACCATGCCCTCAATGGGCTATTTCCTGGAAAACAATGCTTGGTGCTGCTACACAGCTCAGATCCAACAGCTCAGTCCAAGTGCCACTACCACACCTGGTCAATCGTGTACTCCCCCCATTGCCATGCATTTCCTCGAATGTTGAAATTCAAAGTGTCTGCACCGCCGCCCCCTCCATAGGCCTGGATGGCCCCACTCCAAAGTCCACGAACTGTCTGAAGCCCTGGAAGTGCAGCACCTGCGCCGACACTTGATGCCTACATGGAGGCAGGCCACAATGAAAATGGCAACAACAAATTTACATGGCAGCAATAACAGAGCAAGTATCAAAACGCTCAAAAAGCACTCCGATATAAAACGCGCCCGCCCGCGCCAACCGGCGATTCCCGGCTTCACCCGCCGTAGCCCTGCTGTCCCGCCTGTTAACCAGCAGTTCAGCCACGCAGCCATAAGCAAAGATTGACTCCGTCCGAAAGCCGCCCGCCTCAGACTAGTTGCTCGACTCAAGAGCCGGCCAGCAGGCAGGAGCTCCTGCACATCTGCGTTTGGCACCATCACCTGGCAGTTGGCAGCCACAAAACCTATTGGGACAGTAGAATCAGCCAACAAAACATCAACAATCAGCGATCGAGTTCTTTCGCTCAACCTCCATCCACTAGCCTGTACTCAAGCAACACATGCTCCTTTGCATCTGCTGTCCATTTCACATCAGCATTTGCTGTGTTCTGCTCTCAATTTGCAGGAGGGGCCTGCCCTCAAGGGACTCAACCATTTCTCCATTAGTTTTAAGAGGCATTTGACATGGTAGTTGCGACAAATATGCCTACATGCAGCGCCTTGGGCAAGCAATACTGTCTTGGATTGCGGGTGTTTTTGGCTAGCAAGTTGGAGGAATCTGATGTGTCCACATGCACAATTGCTCTGCTTGGTACAGTGAGGAGACAAACATGCGAAGCATTGACTTGAGATTGCATTGCTCCATGCAGAACGGAAGTACTGTTGGTTCAGTTCACTTCTGTACCTGCAGCCGCCACCTCCCCAAAGATTTTTGTGTGGTCGCAGCCCAGAATGCCCCAGGTGACCACTGCATGGAGGACTTGGTATTTGGAGCGAATGCTCCCTCTCTGGGCAGAGCAAAATTTGGTGGCAGGGAGTACTCGCCCTGGACCTCATAACGGGAGTGTTTCTGTTGGAGTACCATCTTCTCCAGCCTCAGCACCTCTTGTTCCCACCGCACAGCCCCAGACAGAGACTCACCAAGCAGGCCGCTATATCTGTAGGCGGTAACCACATCCATTGCTTCCTAAAACATTGTTCTAAAGAAATTCTGGGCATGAAGTGAAGGAAAGGAGGCAGGTGGCAAAATTGGCACCTCCATCCAGAACCGATTTTCATACTTCTTGCAGTGAGTAAGAATTAGAAACGTTGGATGCACACAACGATGAATTGTTCGGACAGCAACAAACATGTGCTCTCAAGTAAGTCGAAAAACAGAAAATGTCCAGGTGAAGAAGGGTCACTCACACAAGATAAAGCGATGATTCAGCAGGGCACTTGCACTGCAGGCAAAGAATTGCATCTATCAAGGACAGGGCCACCCACAACATCCTGCAATGTGTTTGATGGCTTGCACAACCCTTTACCTTGGCGTGTTCACTTGAATGTCACCGCGACCCTCTTTCTTGTCAAAATTGAGGTCGAAAGAAACGTCTTGGAGCACACCTCTCAAAGACGCCAGCTCCAGCTCGTCCAGTGTCAAGCCACGAATACGCATCTTGACAAGATTTGGAGCAGTGTTTGCCTGCATGATAGAACTGAAATGCATCACAAGAACTGCACTGCAAATCCTGGGCCCTGGCTGACACAAATACTTGTACAGACTGAATTCTGATCTACTTGATGTGTTTCACAAGGAGGAAGTATAACCAAAGGCCAAGGGGTTCAGTATTGCTTCTGCAGAAAATTTCCACACAAAAACCCTGAAAAAGTGCAACACGCATTGAAAATGCAGTCCGCCAGCAGCTGGTGCAGATTGCATGGACCCCACCAACACACCTCTGTTGAAATCAGGAGCCTCCCCTGTCTAAGCAACAGCGATCCTCCCTGTCCCTCCGGTGGTTCTTCAGCTGAGCTGACATCCATATCAACCGTGCCAGTTGGAGTTTGCACCCCTGCTACTTCATCCTTCTGAAAGAATGAGCCACCCTGCAGCACAGGCATGACACAAAGAAAAATTTGCCACTTCTTGACAGTAGCAATCTCAGGTGGCAAGCCCAGCATGGGAAGTATGGGGTTCAGACACACACAGATGGTCAGCATACCTGATGCAGGAGGGCGTCTGGTAGATTCAAGTCCACATCTAGCAGTTCATCGGCCCTGAGGCCTTTTGCATGGATGTGCAATGCAGAGGGTGAGAACTGCAGGCTACCAGCCAGCTGACGGGCCAGTTTGAGCTGATTGACCCTGATGCCCTGTAAATGCAAGTCCCCAGAAAATGCAGCTTCTGCAGCCCCTCCAACTTCTCCAGCACCTTGAAATTCTCTTCTGGCTGATATCTGTGTCTGTCCACTCAACTTGAGCCTGAGAGCCTGGCCCCTTGCTACTCGGTCAACTGCCGACATGTTTGATAGCAGTGGTACCACGTCGCAGCCCTTCATGTTCACATCGGCATCGACGCCTGTGACATCTGGAGTTGCCAGCATCGTCATAGCTTTCTGCATCAAAACCATGAAAAACGCTGCTGATGACCATGGGCGATCGTCTGGCAACAGAACAACTTCAATGCATCCTAAAGGCACCTGGATCGTTGGCGGCAGTGCTTGCCCCTCAAAATTGTCAACACACGACCCAAAGACCTTGCAAACAGTGCTCACAAAGCATCAGATAAAATTCTACGCCTACACTGGCATGGACAGCTTTCCGCCCCCTTGTCTGCTTACCATTCTGTGGAGCAACAGCATGGTGAAAGGCAACTTGGCTCCGCCACATATCCTTGTGGCTCAGGACGGCCTGTGCCCATTGTTTCCATGCATTGCCCTAAATCAACACTCTGGGAAAGTGCACCAGCTCTGAGCCACATCTGAGTGCACTACCTGCGCACCTGGGTGTATGCTGTCTTTGTCTGTTGAAAGTCGGCAAACACGGTGTGCAGTGTTCCAGACACCTCAAAGGAAGGTGCTCTTGCCGTCGCTTTCCAGGCCTCCCGGGACAAGTCAGTGGTGCCAGATGCGTGCACTTCGGGGGCTTCCCACGTTACATGCACCACTGGGGATGCGTGGGAACCTCTCATGGTTGCCTTCACACTCGTGGCACCACTGTTGAGCACCTCAGGAAGCTCCACAGCCTGCCACAAGCAGAAGCATGATGCGATCTTCAGCCACCAAAACAGCCAACACAGCTGGGTGCGTGTGCGCGACAAGACTTTGCCAGATGACCGTTGCCCAGGATGAAGCACATATCCGATGATCTTCAGAGATTTCAGGGCTGTGCCATCACGCTGACAATTTTTAGCAGACATCAAACCACCTTTCAACAAGGCTACTTTTATCGAGCAGCATCCAAGCCAGTGCATGAGCAACAAAGACTGTAAATGATCTTCACACAACTGGATGCACAGCTGTGCCAAGTGCCAGTTTAAATGCCCAGAGCACTCACAGCCACCTGGCTTGGTGTCCCAACTGGTCAAGCCAAAATTCATCTTGCAACCAAGTCTTCCTGAGGCATGACATGCCCTTCCACTCTCCTACAAACTCGGTAAATGACACACATATCTTCAATCAGGACAAGTGTGGCATCTGGGCAGAAACTCAAACATGATAGAAAAGGAGACTCTTACCTCTGGCACATACCGTTTGACCAGCCCAGTTGCCATCAGCCCGTGACCTTCCATCTGCATGCGTATGGCACTTGGGTCTTCTTCTGCCTGTGCCGCAATCCACATCCGCCCGGACCCAGTGAGTGTCCCACCGCCGACCGGTGAAGCCTGTCCCTCGTGGACAGTAAAAATGTCCGTTTCCGTGTCATGTGTGAACACGGTGGAGGCACGGGTAAAGGGGACTCTGTCATAAGCCCCTACCGCACTTGGCTCAGACAGCAATGCACTTTTGGCATTAGAGTCTTCCAAAGTGCTGATGACATCATCGGTGGGGCGCACCCCCACCCCACTCCCTGGAGCAAAGCAGAGCACATCATATGGATGGTAGCCAAAATGACCGAGATCATCGTCTGGATGTTGGTTGGAAATGGTTGATTATGTACATCGCGTTCAGGGTACTCTGTGTATGGCCTTGCAACTGACTTTGCCTTGCAGATGTGAGGGCTTTGCCAGCTTTTAACAAAAGAAATCAAAGAATTCTTACACAGCACAACACTGGGGGTCACAGCACACATGAACATTTGGGGAAATTCATTTTAGATGCACACAAATCCACATCGTCACCTTGTCGGTGTATGAGTATGCATTCCTCACATCATAGAGCACAATCACCTCAACTAACTCCATCAACAATTGTGAGGGGCAGTTCATTCCAAAGCACATTGCAATCGCGCAATCAGCAACTCCTCAATTTGTCCTTCAGTCAATTACCCCAGACCCCAAATGCACCTGTGAACCAAATGAAGGAAAATGGGTGAAGAAAAGTTAGAGAATGTACATGTAACATATATTCTCTGCACCCCATTGAGACCAAATAACAAATTGTTGCACTGAGACTTGTGGCAAATGTATACACACCTCTTGGATCCCCAAGCCCAAACCCTCAAAAGCAAACCTACTCATTGATAAAACATCAGATTCTACCTGAAAACACGGGCTGCAGCAGGGGCCCATTGCAGTGTACAATTCCCCGAACTGCTCCAACAGCCGATTGAGGAAGTGGCCGCATGCCAAGGCTGACGCGCACAGCATTCACTTCGACTGGGGGGACAGTGGCAGATAGGCGGTACTGGCCGTCCTCAGGGTCAATATCCATGTCCCCTGCCAACAGCGTCAGCCAGTGTTAGTGGCACAATTTCACACTGGGATCACAGAATGCAGCACAGATGCCCAGCAGGAAAAACACCATTAAAGACACCACTAAAGTAGTGTCAACAATCCCTGTTGGTAGCAGATGTCCAGACCACACAAATCACTGCCCTAGCAGCTGGTAGGCGAAGGCTGGCACTGCTCACATTCACAGAGTCTTCTTCCCAATGCGTTTCTGTTTTTGTTCACCATTGAGCAACCAACAGTACATACTTCCAGAGTGCTGAAAGCAGCACTGCATATGTTCCCCACCTGTAACAGTCAATGGTACTGCACCATAGTACCCATGTGCGTTATGCACATACATGCGGTCTTTCTCAAATATCAGGTCCATGTCCACACCGTTGAGATCATCTGGTGCATCCCAGAAATGAAAAGCCATGCCTGCAAGGAAGACAAATTGCTCTGTTCATGTGATGTGGCAGTGGGATTTAACCTGCCTTTGGGAGGCGAAACAGGGCTTTGCACCATAGTGATCATGGGCAGCCATGCATCCAATTTTTGGGTTTATTGCCTACACATCTGCTGTTCTGCACGTCATTTAGTCGCACCATAAACAAATGGCAGCGCATGGAACCAGGTGACAACCCTGCATTCTGGCAGCCTCAGTAACAGGCTGCCCTGCTAATAACCGGCACTGAACCGTCCTGAGCTGCCAAAATGCATTGATCCCTGCGGTAAAAATGCTGCAAAGCAAGCCTTTGCACCCTAGCATCATGTGCTCCCACCTCTGCATTTTACTTGCCCTTCAAGCTGTGGAATATTCCAGGTGGATTCGTTGAATGATTTTATGCGAAGTGTTCCATTTGCCCGGCCATTGTGGACATCCACTGGAATCTCCACAATACGCTCGAGCAATGCAGCGTGGAGGCTGTCGCCAGTAACCACGACCTCGACTTCTGGAATGACGCCAGTTTCGCCCATCTTCTTACCAGATATGCTGACAGACACATCACCACCTGGAGGTGGCCAGATAGCTTGTAAATTTGAGAGAGGGCTAAACCATGCACTCATCAGACAGCTGAGGATTTCGACCTCTGCATGCAGCATTGCTGCACCACAGCTTCCCAACACATGCGTGGGAGAGACTTGCGAAAGGCACCATACATAAGTAAAAAGTATTTTTGCAGTTTTCACTGGCATGACAAGGACAGAGCTGACGCGAACTGATGCCAACAAATGGGCACCATGAGTCGTCTAACTTGCAATGTCCAACCACTGCAGCACAAGTTCTAATGTCATTGCCCGATACAATGCAACATTATGAAGCCAAGGTGGCTGTCCACAACAGGTGCCCTGCCTTTCTCAGAGGCTGCTCCTCTTTGAAAATCCCTCGTACTCTTCTGAGCCCTGAGTGGCACATCCGTGGGTCTTGCCACCCTTGGCCCAATGCGTTGTGGCATGTCATGCATTGAGGAATACAATGACATGGACCCTGGAGCCCCAGCACCAGTGTTGCTATCTGCACACTTGCTTGTGGAGCTGATCTTCATCTTCTTTGCCAGTGTGCCTTCTGTGCCTGAGTTCTCAGCCTTGTGCCGCTCTGCAATCGATCCAGCCCATTTAGGGCTTGAAGAGGGTGCTGCCTCAGCTATGGTGCCTATGGGCTGGCTGACAGATCTGGTGATGTCTGCTGGGAAGACAATCTGTAGGCCCTTGTGCAGGCCAGGCGTCACAAACCTGTTGAACAAGGCAACAGTCAGACACAAGGCAGTTTGCACACAACATTCCCAAGATTGCATGTTCACATCTGGATTCTCACACCAGCAGCACATGGAGCTGTTTGGTGGCAAAAGGGAATGCAAACCCACTGGCAAACAGATCTGCTCACAGGGAGTGCAATGGCCTATTCAGCAGTGACAGGGCATGACTTAATTGTATAATATTATCCCTATCAAAAGGGGACGCATTCAATGGGGATTTATGCAGAACACATTGAACACAGCACGGAACTGCCCTGTCTCCCCTGGCAGTGACAACAGTAAAGGGGCACAGCTGATGTCAAAGAGAACCTGTGCAGAAACTCTACTGGAACAAGGCACAGCAAGTGGGTTGAAAACAGGTCTGTTTGTAAAAAAGAACACTGGTACCTGAGATGGCGAACAGCATTTGGGGTTGGCATCGTGCATTTGGTGGAGTCCGGATGCCTCATTTCTGCCTTGCCATGCAGATTTATTGACATTGAATGGTAGCCTCGCCCAAAACTAGCATTACCACCAACGAGTTTGATTTTGCGGGGCAGAGCTTCCCCCGTAATGAAGGCATTTACAGTTCCCTTCTGCAATGATATGTTCCTCAAAGCAACCTGTGGACACATGCAACGATGATGTTCAGAATACAATGGTTGTCAAGACAGCAATAGCTTGGTATGACATGCATAGCTTGGTGTGAGAGCAGACAAAATCGTTCAGATACAGATCCTGCAAATGAGCAGGCGAAGTTCAACGCCAATCCCCTGTTCCATGGAGGCCACTGCACAAATGTCAACGCAATTCCATCAATAACACGAG